TAAATATTTTATTCGTATTTCAATCAATTTAAAATTAACAAAAATTGAAAAATGTGAGATCCACAGTGCCACGTAGGCAACTAACGACGAGATTTGATGGAAACCCTAATAGCGAAATCACATTGTAACAAATTTAAAAGACTAGGGTATGTTATTATAAAAATTGAGAAGGTATGGACTAATATGTCTTAAGGGTGTAACCACAAAATACTAAAGTGTAATTAACCCAAATTTTTATCAATAAGAAATTCTGCAATGTCATTGGTATGATCATTTTGGAGATCATTTTGGCATGACACTCAAAGGTAAACCATCATATATCAAATGGAGCTGGCTTTGGGACAAAGAGGTTGGCCTTGTATTCATATAGCCCTTCAGCATAGCATTGCTTGAGAGCAAGGTGGTCCTTCATTGTTTGTTCTTAAATTTGCACCTGAGCTTACAGAAATGAGAAATGAAGAATCTGCAGACTTCAGGTAGGGAAAACATTTTCACCAGTTGGGAAAGAAACATGAAGGTAATAACATGAAAAGCGGATCCAACTGAGTTTCCCAAGGTTTTGACAAATTGCTGATGGGGCATGACAGCCCTAATCCCTGTTTCGAATGCTATTGCAGTGGATTGTAGAGCAATATATGTAAGAGCAGCAGCACTTGTGAAATAGTAAACATAAGAGGACTTGTTGCTGTTGACAGCTCCCCAGAACAGAAGGCAAGATGCAATTATTGAGCAAGTCATGGCAATGCTGTCTGTGATGATGAACCACTTGAAATCATTATTTGACTGCAGAAGAGCCTCCCCTTGGTCTGGTCCTACATTATTGTTGTAGCCTCCAGGCATTGTGAAGGCAGCTGCAAATGTCACAGTTGTGATAAGAGTTGTAACCATCAAAAGGGTCTGACCCATTTGCATGTAAGTTTGCACTGCATTGGCTTCTTCTTGTTCTGCTCTTGGGGAAATCTTGAAGTTGTCCAAACATGAATTTCGGGTACCAAGATGTCCCCAAATTTCTGGGATAATGTTCTGCAATTTCTACCAGATGAACAGTTGTAGTTTGTTAAGAATTATAACCAATTATACAAAGGATATTAATTATGTAGTTATCACTCACCCTGGGAGATGTAATACTGGACTCTTTAATTGACCTATCAATGTCAAATGCGGCTTGACCACATTTGTTCTTGGAACTTTGATGCACTCTTCCATCCCACATCAAGTAATACACAATCCAAGTTTTTCTTTCCATGGTGGCGAGATGCAAAGGCGTGTTTCCATTGACGTCGGGCTGATTTATGAGGCACTCCAGTTCTGGTGTTTCTAGTATATACCTGACCACATTTGCCTGGCCACCAACGATGGCCATGTGAAGAGCATTCTGTCCATATTGGTCACAAATTTCTCCCGAGTCTGGGCAATGTCGAATGATCTCTCTAATCACACTGGTATGACCTTTGTTAGCTGCAACAAGAATTGGTGAATGGCCCTCTTTGTCCAAAACATATGCAATGGACGTATCAACTTCTAGTAATCGTTTAACCATTCTATGTTGGCCAAGGGATGCTGCATAGTAGAGAGGAGTTCTCCCTTGGTGATCAGTTTCTTTGATCAGCTGCTGTTTGAACCGTAGGAGTACTTCCACGATATCTTACGATGACAAAAATTGATTTGAGTTTAAATAAGAAAATACAGAAGTTGTGAAACTAATACGCCCCTATGTGCAAAATATATACATATATATATATATATATATATATATATATGTGTGTGTGTGTGTGTGTGATTGGAATTTTATTCTATGCAACTTCAAATACGAAACGCATCTATCTGAAGTCAAAGTCCATAAAGAATTGCAAGGAGTTGGATATTATAGTAGTTGCTGAAAGTGTGTGCAAATTTAAAGCATCCATTGCTAAAACAGTTAGAACAGAACTGGGCCAAAGTATGACATACCAAAATGCTTCTCAACAACAGCAGCATGCAAGGCTGTTTGGCCATTTGACCCGCCATGAACTGATGATGCAGTTGATTTTAAAATCTGATTCAGAATCTCAAACATTCCTCCTCTAGCAGCCAGGTACAATGGAGACTCGCCCGCATCATTTTCAATAGACGACAATTTAGGGTCAATTGTAAGCAAGAACTCAACCAATTTAATGTGACCATTCCTCACAGCTTCATGTAAAACTGTGTTTCTCCCCCTATTTCCCGTTCTCAGTGTCTCAAACATGCCATTATTCTCATTCCTGAAGTCTGTCTGTGACATGAACGGAATTTCTCTGACCAGATCATTGAAGATAGAGAAGCAACCAACCCTTGCAGCCACATGTAAAGGAGTATCTCCATCTAAGTTTTGCTGTGTGAGAAAGGATCTGCATCTGCTATAAATCTCAGCCACAACCTTCTTGTGTCCAAATTGCACGGCGATATGGAGGGCTGTGTTTTCTCGGGGTGTAAGTTGATATAGTAGGCTTGGATTTTCATTAAGAAGTTGTTTGAGGAAGCAAATGTCACCTGACTTTGCAGATTTGTAGAGCCTTGGGTCCATGGAATTTTGGGAATTAGCAACTAGTACATAATCTGTGGATGGTTTATTCATGGCCTTGTGATTTTAAATAGCAGTTGTGAAAGAATATATAAACTCACCAACCCATCTTAGTTTTGCTGTTGACAATCAAAAGTGTGCAATGGTTCATTGACTTCTAGTTTCTTGCCGCCTTTGAAAATGGTGATGTGATTTTCAAGACAGGTGGAGGAACGAAATACACAGTAAAATTCAAGCCAAGCTGACCACCACATAGTTTTCACTGAGGCAGGAGCAAGTCAAAGTCTGTGAGGTCTACATGAAACTTTCCAAGAGGGTCATGTGGTTGATCAATTCAACTCCAGTCATTCTAAAACTAAGAAATTGGTCATAAGTATAACTAACTGGTGTAATGTAAGATAGCAACAGAAGTATTTAACCAATTAGGTTATTTATAAGCCAGAAGTAGAAAGCAATCATTTTAATATGCTGGAAGAGAGTTAAAAGTCAAAGCCCTGTATTATTATTTTCTGCACTGTGAGAAGCATGAAACTAAAATAATGTCCAGTCGAGGAAACTTTGATCCTTTTGAAGAGGTCAAGCTTGCTGCGCTTGCTAAGCTTAGGATTAAGCCTAGATGCTTTATATAAATATAGCTTTTCTATGTGACTCTGTAATATCTAACCCATCATCATTGCATCCCATAACATAAGTACGCCGATTTTTAAACATTTGATTATATCATGGATAGTTTCATTGTTTAAAGGAAATCTCTTTTGCCGATTTTTTAATCACAGTTAGATGACTAAGTGTTATCTAATTTGGCTAATTTTTTGCAAGGGTGATCCCTGAATGTTGACCTAAAAAATTAACATTCCTAATCATGAGAGGACGTTGTGCACTGGACCCAAATGAGTGGTTAGTGTCGTTTAACTTACTAATCTGTTAACTGTCAAGAGCTGATGTAATACTCTTTTTTTTTTTTTTTTTTTGAAATTCAGCGATTTGGGGAGGGGGGCACTTTTCGAGATTTTCTATTTAAACCCCACACTTCTCTTTCTTCACCCGATGTTCTAAGTTCACCTCAACTTCTATTTTAAATTTTCACAATTTCTAAGAAAACCCCCCTATCTTCCCAAACTACCCTTAAATACCCCCCCAGTTGGGGAAAAAAAAAAAAAAAAGAGTTTTTCTATTTAAACCCCAGGGGAGGAACCCCTTGGTCGAGCTAATGTATCTATATATATAAAGCAAAAGGCAGAGAATGGTGAAACATTCAAAATACATGAAAATACCCTTGGTTAATGCAAACATTAAGAATTGAAATTATTAATTAAATGAGGATAATATGGTAAATTCACACTTTTTCATATTAAAAAATTTAAAATTAAAAGAAAAATCAGATAATGCATCCTTTTTTTATGGAACACAACTAACCATTATCTTTTTTAATTCTAAAATAAATTTTAAAAAAAACCTCTCGCAGGCACGGAAGTGCGTGCGGAGAGGCTAGTACTTATTAACAGTATACTTCAAAGTAGAAACCCGTTGCAATTGAACTTAAGCCATGATTGATGCAGCGGCACTCGAGCAAGGATGTTGGAAAACACGAAACATGAACCACCAAGCCCCGTTTAGTCTAAGAATACCCGAAACTTGGCATAAAAGATAGAATAAAATACTCAAACCCGTTAATTCTAAGAATACCCAGATTATGAGCAAAGATGAGGGAACAATCTCTTTGTTTTCAATTTCAATTATCAACAACCACTCCCTTGAGAAATATGAGCATACAAGTATTTAAAGACTTAATCTCTCATTGCATACATTGAACTAGCACCTAAATTAATAACCCATTAATCCAGAAACATTAAGCCCCATCCAAATAATTACGACTCTAGCTATTCCATTCCAAACACATGGAATTTATTAGAAGCCAAAACAAAACGTTCATGCATTGAACTTATTAATGCTTTTGATTCAAATGCCCCATAAACTTTAATGGCTCTTTATCTGCATCAGATTTTCATTAAAATAATTAACAGCAGCCAAACATTTGCACTCTCTCTTCTAGGATCCATATTTTTCCTAATAAAGCAGCCAAATATGCCCTAAACAAAAGGTTTGGATCAGCAACCATATAATTTTATACACAGATGACAGTCTTTGAGTGGTTCGGTTAAAGAACTGGGAACAGTTGAGATTCTATTTGACATACAATTACATTCTTTTTTCTGAAATTCGTTTATGTATCTTGGAGTACAAGGTTCACAACTTCTAATCTCTAAACCCGAAAAGAGAAAAAGAAAAACATCAACTACATGAAATAATATTGAGTTACAAAATACATCACAATTGTATAATATTGTGGCAACTTGTAATCCCTAAGACCTTATACAGCAGAATTTTTCATCAAATAATGTGACAGATGTGCTGATTAGGAGTTGAACTAAAAAGTAGTGCAGAATGCACTTATCCTTCATTGCTTGTTCTTAATTTTGCAACTGAGCTTATAGAGATGAGAAATCAAGAATTTGCAGGCTTCAGGTAGTGAAAGCGTTTTCACCAGTTGGGAGAGAAACAAGAAGGTACTAACATGAAAAGCAGTTCCGACTATGAGTTCCAAGGTTTTGGCAAATTGCTGATGGGCCATGACAGCCTTAATCCCTGTTTCGAATGCTATTGCAGTGGATTGTAGAGCAATATATGTAAGAGCTGCAGCACTTGTGAAATAGTAAACATAAGAGGACTTGTTGCTGTTGACAGCTCCCCAGAACAGAAGGCAAGATGCAATTATTGAGCAAGTCATGGCAATGCTGTCTGTGATGATGAACCACTTGAAATCATTATTTGACTGCAGAAGCGCCTGCCCTTGGTCTGGTCCTACATCATTGTTGTAGCCTCCAGGCATTGTGAAGGCAGCTGCAAATGTTACGGTTGTGATAAGAGTTGTAACCATCATAAGGGTCTGACCCATTTGCATGTAAGTTTGCACTGCATTGGCTTCTTCTTGTTCTGCTCTTGGGGAAATCTTGATGTTGTCTAAACATGAATCTCGGGTACCAAGACGTCCCCAAATGTCTGGGATAATGGTCTGCAATTTCTACCAGATGAACAGTTGTAGTTTGTTAAGAATTATAACCAATTATACACAAAGGATATTAATTATGTAGTTATCACTCACCCTGGGAGATGTAATCCTGGACTCTTTAATTGACCTATCAATGTCAAATGCTGCTTGACCACATTTGTTCTTGGAACTTTGATGCACTCTTCCATCCCACATCAAGTAATACACAATCCAGGTTTTTCTTTCCATGGTGGCGAGATGCAAAGGCGTGTTTCCATTGACATCAGGCTGATTTATGAGGCACTCCAGTTCTGATGTTTCTAGTATATACCTGGCCACATTTGCCTGGCCACCAACGATGGCCATGTGAAGAGCATTCTGACAAAAATTAAGTCTCAGTTTAAATAAGAAAATACAGAAGTTGTGAAACTAATATGACCCTATGTGCAATATATATATATATAGGGGGCAGATCGGCTCCACATATATATGCATTTGTGTGTTTGTGTGACTGGAATTTTATTGAAACTTCAAATACCAAACGCATCTATCTGAAGTTAAAGTCCATAAAGAATTGCAAGGAGTTGGATATTATAATAGTTGGTGAAAGTGTGTGCAAAGTGAAAGCATCCATTGCTAAAAAAGTTAGAACAGAACTGGGCCAAAGTATGACGTACCAAAATGCTTCTCGATAGCAGCAGCATGCAAAGCTGTTTGGCCATCTGACCCGCCATGAGCTGATGATGCAGTTGATTTTAAAATCTGATTCAGAATCTCAAACATTCCTCCTCTTGCAGCCAGATACAATGGAGACTCGCCCGCATCATTTTCAACAGTCGCCAATTTAGGGTCCATTGTAAGCAAGAACTCAACCAATTTAATGTGACCATTCCTCACAGCTTCATGTAAAACTGTGTTGCTCCCCCCATTTCCCATTCTCAGTGTCTCAAACATGCCGTTATTCTCATTCCTGAAGTCTGTCTGTGACATGGAATGAATTTCTCTGACCAGATCATTGAAGATAGAGAAGCAACCAACCCTTGCAGGCACATTTAAGGGAGTATCTCCATCTAAGTTTTGCTGTGTGAGAAGGGACCTGCATCTGCTATAAATCTCAGCCACAACCTTCTTGTGTCCAAATTGCCCGGCGATATGGAGGGCTGTGTTTTCTCGGGGTTTAAGTTGATATAGTAGGCTTGGATTGTCATTAAGAAGTTGTTTGAGGAAGCAAATGTCCCCTGACGTTTCAGATTTGTAAAGCCTTGGGTCCATGGGATGTTGGTGTTGAGCAACTAGTACATAGTTTATGGATGGCTTTATTCAAGGCCTTGTGATTTTAAGTAGCAGTTGTGAAAGGATATATAAACTCATCACCCCATCTTAGTCTTGCTGTTGACAATCAACAGTTTGAAATGGTTCATTGATTTCTACTTTCTTGCCTTGTTTGAAAATGGTGATGCAATTTTCGGGACACATGGAGGAACGAAATCTGCAGTAAAAGTCAAGCCGAACTGACCAACATATAAACTACAGCAGAACATCACAATCCAATTTGAAAATATACATAACTTCTGTTGGGACGAGTTTTCACTGAGGCAGGCACAACTCAAAGTCTTTCGTGAGGTCTACATGAAGCTTTTCAAGAGGTTTATGCCCATTTCATTCTCTAATCTGTCATGTGGTTGATCAATTCAACGCCAGTCATTCTAAAACTATGAAATTGGTCATAAGTATAACTAACTGGTGTAATGTAAGATAGCAACATGAGTATTTAAACACCAATTGGTTTCTTTAGAAGCCAGAAGCAGAAAGCAATCACTATAATATGCTGGGAGAGAGGTAGAAGTCAAAGCCCTGTATGATTTTCTTCTGCAATGTGAGAAGCATGAACTAAAATAATGTGCAGGTAGAAAAGACTTTGCTCCTTTGGAAGAGGTCAATCTTGCTAAGCTATATAAATAATATACCTTTTCTAGGTGACTATGTAATCTCTGACCCATAATCATTAGATCACATAACATAAGGCCTCATTCCTCTAGAATTAGAATTCTCTCTAGTCAATCAGAAAGTTGTTCGGTGTTTTTTCCCCTCATGCTCGAGCAATTTTTGGGTGGTATTTCCTTGTGTCGTAATTTTACCAATAATATAACACGTATGCTTGTTGAGGAGTGCTAAAGCTCTAATTAGTTAGTAAGTTTTTTTTTTTTTTTTTGAAAGAGAAGAATTTCATTGAACTTGCATCAACACTTACAGTAGAATCAATTGGCAAAACAGAGGGCTAAGAGTGGCCTCATTAAAACCTTGCCATATAAAACCCCCAAAGGAGGAAAATCCAGTCAAGGAAAAAGAGTACCACAGCACCTCCAAATAAACAACAGAGGAAACCATTAAAAACACTGTTAAGTCTGCATCCTATCGCTCTCTAGCACCTGCTCCAGCCAAGGGGGGGCAATATCTTCCCAAAAAAACAGCAGACCTTTCTTCAATCCAAACTGGGCCAGTGCATGTGCAGCCCCATTGCCATCGCGAGGTTGAAACACCACATCAACCACCCCATGATCTGCCATTAATCATCTAATATCCTCCACCACATTACCCAAATTACTCCGCCATTCCAAAGCTCCCTTGAGCATCGCCACTGCTTCTTTGGAGTCAGTTGCAAGCACAAACTGAGTATAGCCTTTAAACCCCATCATCAATAACCCTTCCCTCAATGCCACCAACTCAATGCCTAATACATTCAGCCCAAGTGGACCAAAGGTAGCAAACCCACATATGAATCTCCCTGCATTATCTCTACAACAGCCCACAAACCTCTCATTTCTCCTTCACGGTCCAAAGCACTATCACAATTAAGAATAATGGTATGCAGAGGCAGTCGATCCCATTTGATTTGCCGAGACACCCCAGACAGCTGGGGCCGCGCCAAACAAAATTTGTAACTTCCATATGGCTCACAAAATCGTTCACTTTTTAGGTCATCATTTGAAACTGTTAAACCACACGCACTCATCTAGGAAGAAGAATCTGAAACGGATTCTTCTCAATCACAATAGTTGACTTCCTCTCCAAATATTTTGTATTTACTGCCATTCAAGGCTTTTACCGTTTATATCTTTATTGTGCAATTATAAATATTGTAATATTTACACAAAGGAATACAATCAGAATTCAAACTTCTACATGGTATCAGCCTAAACGATCCCTTTTTCTCTTCCAAGCGATAGCCTCTTCCCTCTCTCTCTCTCTCTCTCTTCAGCCGAACCCTCATGGCCTCTCTATCTTCCTCCTCCTCCCTTCCTGGTCCCCACTCCTCCCATTTCATCAAGCTCATCGACACCAACTACCTCCTCTGGCTTCAACAAATCAAACCTTTTCTCATTGGTCACGGCTTGTGGAAATATGTTGATGGCTCCTCTCCTCAACCTTCTCCCTTTCTGCCTCTACCTGCATCCTCTCCTACCCAAGAATCTGCTCCTCCTCAACCTAATCCTGCCTACGAAACATGGTTTCAACAAGACCAACTCATTGTCAGTTACCTCACCAGCACTCTATCTGAATCAGTGTTGTCTCTCACCATTGGTTGTGACTCCTCAAAAACAATTTGGGACTGCTTACAACGCCACTTCTCTCAGACTTCGGTGGCCAGCGAATCCATCCTCCGTTTTCAACTCATGGACCTGCAAAAAGGAACACAAACTGTGGACCAATACCTTCGTCAAGCCAAATCTATTGCGGACTCTCTTGCTGCCATCAATGAGCCCGTCTCCAATAAGGATCTTGTCACTGGCGTTCTTCGTGGCTTGGGTCCTGATTACAAAATGCTGGTAACTACTCTTTTAAATTTTCCCCCTCTTCCTGATTTTGCTGACCTGCATGCTCGATTGCTCTCATATGAAGCTCAGACTCCTCGCACCGATCCTGTTCACACCAGCCAATCCACGGCTCTCATGGCCACTCAGTCTCAACCATTTTTCTCTCACCGTGGTGGCTCTTCTAATCATGGCACTGGACGTGGCCGCAACGGTGGTCGTGGCGGTCGCGGCGATGGAGGTCGGGGTTGGAACTCACAGCAGCATCAGTTCCAACTGTGGTCTTCCAATGGCTCCTCTAGCCCCTATCGTGATTGGCAGCAGCCGTCCAATCCTGCCTGGGCCACTAACTGGCAGCAGCAATCCCAGTCCCCTCCCTCATGGCCCACTGTCAACAGCACCCGGTCCCAGGCACCTGGCCTTCTTGGGACCCCATGGTGCCCCACATGCAACACTGCTCAACACACTCACGCAACATGTCCCCATCGCTTCCGTGGCCCTGAAACTTTTCCTCCATTTGGGGGTGCACAATTTCTCCAACCTCCTGAAAATACCTGGAATCTCGACACCGAAGCAACCCATCATATGACTAGTAATGCCACCAACCTTCAGAACCCCCAATCCTACATGGGTAATGACTCCATTTATTTAGGTAACGGTGATTCTCTACCTATTTCATCCACCGGTACTCTTCCTATTTCTTTAGGCTCTTCTGCATATTCTCTTCGTAATGTTTATCATGTTCCTTCCCTCCATACAGTGGCGGACCTGTGCAGGCGCAAGGAGGCGCGCCCGCACCTCCGGTCGCTGGAAATCGCCATTACAGGTGCTGGAGTTGCACCTCTGCTGCAGACCAGCGACGCACAACAGGTGTTTGATGAAATGCGCAAAAGACTTGGGCGCTGCGCAGCGCGCGCGCGCTCCTTTTTTTTTAACGAAGCCTGGCCAAAACGACGTCGTTTTGGACCAGGGTTTTTTAATTTAATTAAAAAAACGGAAATTGATGCTGTGTGTGGGCTTTTTGTGGGTTTTTTCAAAAGGGCTTCTATTTCCTTACTTAAATGGGACTTAATTGGGAGTTCTCTTTATTCAATTGGGTTAGTTCCTTAATTAAGTAGAATTGGGAATTCTCTTTATAAAAGACCAATTTAACATCACCCAATTTCATCAAAGTGTGTGTGCATCACAATAATTTTTTTTTCTTATTTAGCTGTCTCTATACAGTTATGGAACGATACTTTCAGAGAAAGAGATCAAATCCTCCTTCAAATAATCCAGCTAGTTCCAATCCTTCTTCAAATAATCCTGCTAGTTCAAATCAACCTTCAAATAATCCGGCTAGTTCCAACCCTCCTTCAAATAATCCGCCTACTTCACATCCTCCCTTGAATAATTCGGGTAGTCCAAAACGATCAGAGGTCACTGAGTTGGATGAAATATTGGCTACTCTTCCTGCAGACCCTGGACTTTGACCTCCAATGACTTATTATAATCCCAATTTTCGAGAAAAAATCCGAAGAGCCTATCTACAAAGGGGTCCTTGTCAGCCTTAATTAATTATGAATAACATTAGTATTCATGGGTCCTTGTAATCGACGTTTTCTTGTGAATTGGTTTGATTCATTTGTTTGGTTGGAGTATAGTAAAGAGAAAGATGCTGCATTTTGTCTTCATTGTTATCTTTTTAAATGCGTCTTTGATAAACAAGGAAAGGCTGGAAGTGATGTCTTCACTGAGAAAGGGTTTAAAAATTGGAGGAAGGGACCCGAGAATTTTAGGGACCATGTCGGACAAGTTGGAAGTCTTCACAATAAAGCTACACAACATTGTACAGATTTAATGAATCAGAAGCAACACGTTGAAACCATTGTGATCAAGCAGACAGACCAAGCTCATATTAATTATCGCATTCTATTAACTGCCGCACTTGATTGCACTAGATATTTATTGCGACAAGGTCTCCCTTTTCGTGGCCATGATGAAAGCGAAACATCTAGCAATAAGGGTAATTATGTTGAGCTTTTGCAATTTCTTGCCGATCATGATGAGAAAGTTCGTGCCGTTGTGTTTGAGAACGCTCCAAAGAATCTCAAGTATATTGCTCCTAAAATTCAAAAAGAGCTTGTCAATTCTTGTGCCGCTGAAACCATTGATGCAATTATTAGTGATATGGACGATGCATTCTTTTCTATATTGGTAGATGAATCACGTGATGTTTCAATAAGAGAGCAAATGGCGGTGGTGTTGCGTTATGTGAACAAAAAAGGGCAAGTAATTGAAAGGTTTGTAGGTATCCAATATGTCTCTGATACGACTAGTAGCGAATTGAAAGAAGCAATTGAGCAGTTGATTTCTTCAACAAATTTGAGTATGTCCAGGCTACGAGGACAGGGGTATGATGGTGCTAGTAATATGAGAGGTGAGCTCAATGGTCTTAAAACACAGATTTTGAGAGAATATCCTCAAGCATATTATGTCCATTGTTTTGCACATCAACTACAACTAGCTCTTGTAGCCGTGGCAAAGGGAAATGAAAACATTGCTACTTTCTTCACAACGGCTAGTAGTGTCGTTAATATTATTGGAGCATCGTGTAAGCGTCGTGATGCACTTAGAGAGCAACAACAAAAAGATATTATGAAAGCTCTTGAAATTGATGATCTTGAAACGGGGCAAGGGTTAAATCAAGAGACTACTCTCAAACGTCTTTGTGATACAAGTTGGAACTCACATTATGATACTTTACTTAGTATTAATACTATGTTTCAACCCCATGATGAAGGTGCTTGAATGGATTGTTGATGATGTCGACCAAGATAATTTAGGTGAAGCAAATAGGTTGTTAAAAGAAATACAAACTTTTGACTTTGTGTTTCACCTATATTTGATGAGATTTATATTGGGAGTCACAAATGATTTGTCAAAGGCATTACAAAAGAAAGATCAAGATATTGTGAATGCGATGATGTTGGTCCAAAGATGTAAGCAAAAGCTACAATCCGTGAGGGATGATGACTTTAATAATTTGCTTGGCGAAGTATCAAGATTTTGTGGCAACAATGATATTGACGTTCCTAACATGGATGATTTATTTGTACCACAAGGGAGATCACGACGTAAAGCTCAGAAAATCACAAACCGCCATTATTATCGTGTGGACCTATTTCTTACTATCATTGATAAGAAACTAGTGGAATTGAATAATCGCTTTACATAGGTAAATACTGAATTGCTCATTTGTATGGCATGTTTGAGTCCGGCTTATAATTTTGCAGCTTTTGACAAACAAAAAATACTTCGTTTTGCTAAATTTTACCCACAAGAATTTAATGACCGAGACCTCATGAAGCTTGAAGATCAACTTGGGCTTTATATTGTTTATATGCAGAGCAGCACAGAGTTTTCATCATTGAACGGAATTACTGATCTGGCCGAAAATTGGTGAATACAGGAAAGAGTAGAATATAGAACTATGTGTATTTACTTGTTACATTGGCTTTAGTTTTATCTGTTGCAACTGCTTCGGTTGAGAGAGCTTTTTCAGCTATGAATATTGTGAAAACACCATTGCGTAACAAAATGGGGAATCAATGGTTGAGTGATAGCTTGGTTGTTTACATTGAGAAAGATGTTTTTTCTTGTATTAGTAATGAAAATATAATGCGACGTTTTCATGATATGATACCTCGTCGGCAACAATTGTAGGTTAATTGTAATGTTATTTTTTTAATTAATTATGAATAACATTAGTATTGTTTAAATGATAAGGATGTTTCGTTTTTTTTTTTTTTTTTTTGAGCTCTTAGTTTTTAAAAATTGCACCTCCGCTGAAAAATTCATGGGTCTGCCGCTGCCTCCATACTAATCTTCTTTCCATAGCTTGCTTTACTCGTGATAATTCTGTCTCCTTTGTATTTAATCCCAATTCTTTTCAAATTTATGACTTACAAACTGGTATTCTTCTTTTTCAGGGCCCATGTAAAGATGGTCTCTATCCTATCTCATTTCCATCCGCCTCCCCCGTCAAGCATGCCTTCGCTTCCATTAATTCCACTGCTTGGCATCGTCGTCTTGGTCATCCATCTTCCGCTGTTTTGTCTCGTCTTTCTTCTTCATTAGGTTTCAAATTAAATAAGGAATTTTGTAAGACTTGTGCCCTTGGCAAATCTACTCAATTACCATTCTCTACTAATGAAATTCATGCCCACTCCTCTTTTTTAATTATTCACTCTGATGTTTGGATGTCCCCTGTTCCTTCTACAACAGGTTTTCGGTATTATGTCTTATTTACTGATGAATATTCGCGGTGATCGGTTCATAATTGTATATCATTTTGTACCCTTCTAGCTTATGATTTGGTTATGTTTTTGAGTTAAACTTGTGCTTTTAATCTTTTTTGTGTTTATCTTTCAGTTTATTGAGCTTTAGGTAACAATGATGGCTTTGGATAGGAAATGATGCAATCCATGCATTTTAAGGCCTGATTTGGGTGAATGGAAGAAGAGCTTAAAGACAAACTAATTTTGGCTACAAACCCTTGCCAGCCCAGTTTCGTAGGTCAACTTCTTGGCCTTGGATCAGCATGCTCTGGGGCTCGGATGAGATGAAGATCTTCATACAAGTTGTTCCAATGGGTGTGTACTATGACATATCCAAATTTCAGCCCAATTTAACATATCTGGAGTCCTTAGCCCGTCCAACACTGAACCCTGCTCAGGAGGATTTGCAGCTGCCAGCTTTTAGCCATGTGCCTCCTTTTAGCCATAACTGACTTTGTACCCAACATAATAAGTGAAGTAGGGAGGCATTCCAGCTATGAAATTCTAAAAGAGCAAGTTGGTACATAATGGAGCTATTAAAGAGAAAGCATGTGCATGCATGTAAAGCATAAATGAAATGAAGTCAATTCCAGTCTCTGT